GCTTTGTTGAAATTAAATATTATAAATGAAAAACTTAAATTATTGAAAGTCAAAGATGAAAAAATTGCTAATTTAATTAAAGAAATCAGTTCTTTAAAATTAAAAGAAGAACAAATTATTCATCTGCAGAAGGAAGAAGAATTCAAATTAAAGAATTTCATCAAGGAATTGGAAATAAGAGTGTCAGAGAAGCAACGCGATTCAGACGAATTAAAAATTCAGATAAAACTAACACAAGAGACATTGGAGCTTGCAGAGAATAAATTTGAAAAATTATCAAAAGAAACAGCTGATTCTGAAGCGAAAATGAAAGAAATAATTATGAACCTTCAAGAAGTAAGAACTACTCAAGATGCAGTTTTAAGTACTCAGGAAAAAGCTCTAAAGGAAAGAGATTTACAGATGGATAAACTTCAGAAAGAGTTTAATGAATCGAAAGGTATGTTAAATATGCAATTGGAGAACGAAAAATCATTATGTCAAAGTTTGCAAAGTAAAAATTCCGAATTACAAATCCAGTTGTATAAGCAGATCAAAACCACAGAAGAATTACAAGAAACATTAAAGAGAGAAAAGGAGGAACATGAAAGAAGTAAAGAATATTGTAAAGTTGTTGATGTAAGAAAATCAAAAATTGTACAAATTTGTAACGAATTAGAGCATTCAGTTGCAGATTTGAAATTGGTAATCGCAAAAACAAGTCCAACAAAAGAAAACTTCTATTCGGAGATTTACGACGCGTCTCCTTTAAATAGTGGTGATGATACAGTTGATAATATTTTAAATATTGTAAAAACATCTATTAATGAAATGGACGCATCACACAAATTGATTTTCTATCTATCTAATGTAAATACAAGTTTAAATAAAATCGTGGAAAATCAAAAACTCAAACTCGAGGATTACTCTAAACAATCTGAAGAAATCAAATCATTGAAGAATGAGGTATATAAATTGAAGAGTACAGAAGAAAAACATGTGAAGTATATATTAAATCTAATCAATTACAAGGAATCGTTACGAGATTCGTTACAGAGTATTATCGAATTCAGAACAAATTTAGATTCATCTTTGGATGAACTGAAACAGAAATGGGATAAATTAATAACAAAATCTTATAACGTCTTTACGATTGACAAATCGGCTTGTGACGAATTGAAAAGTATACAAGCAAAAAAGTCATACCTTGAAAGTATTTTATCTAAATATAACACTTATCATCTGCAAAATATAATGACTATCGACGCTATTCTATGGGAAAATTTCCTGTGGACAGAAGATGCATTGAAAAATACATATTTAAATGTAACAGGAAATGAAGTCATTCCTGATATTCCTACAAATACTTTCTTAAACGAGAAAACAGTCATTGAAGCTGAGTTACAGAAATGTGTAACTTTAGAAAAGGATATTGCTGAAACTAAGAAAGAAATAGATGATTTTTCTAAAACAATTCTTACATTGGAAGATGATTTTAAATTTGATGAAACTAAATTTCAGTCTAAGGTGGAAAAGGAATTGCGATCTAAAATTAATGAAATGATAGAAGCGAGGAATAACGTTGGAAGTAAACTAAATTGTGCACAAATGAAAAATGCAAAATTGGAAGGCCATATTGAAGAACTCCGAAAAACCCTGGAAGAATTAAAAGCTGCTACATCAACACAAATGGAAATTTTGAGGAAAGAAAGTATCCAACTAAAAGAAGACAACTTAAAGCTACAAGAAGAAAACACTGAATTGAGGAAGAGGCCGAAGAAAGAAGACATTGATGAACAGATAAGAGACATTCATGAAAAATATAAAATTAAATTAGATGAAATTAAGCAAAATATGGTAGGCACATTAATATATATTATTTTTGCAATCATTATGATTCGTTTATTCCTGTAATACGTATTACAGAAAACAGCATATCATGAACGAATATCTCAGTTGAACAAAGAACAAGAACAATGTGTACAGGAAAAATTGGAATCATTACAAAAGAAAATGGAAACACAATGTCGTAAACAAGCAGACGAATTGAACAAATATAAAGCACACGCTGCAGGCCTGAGTTCACAGATTTGGAATCTGGGAGAAAAACTCTTAAGTGAAAGACAAGAGAACAAAAAGTTACAGAAGGAGTTGAACGATCTAAAAGATCAACAAATGTTTCCATCGATTGAGTACAAAACTTCGAAGTAAGATAAATTATACTGTAATAACAAAACCGAACAATTTTTATAATTTCTAATTTTCATTAATATTAATGAACACTTTTTTCAGTTTCGAGAAAAAAACTTTACTATCAGGAGAAAAGAAAGAAGAGATTTTACACAAAGTTTCAGTGATACAAGAAAATACAGCATACGAAAGAAGATGTAGCATTAGAAGTATACAAGCATTGGGTAATGCATTCAATGCAGAAGACGAAGAAGGAGAAGTTTTTGATAATATTTATTTAGGTAAGTTGTATATAATTCGTGGATTAATGTTTCAAATAATGTAAATGAATTTAATTTCTATTAGCTGACATGAAAAATGGCCATACTTCAGTCATCTCCGACACTGATCGGTTAACTATTCTGAAAAAAAGAAATGCTCTTTGCAAACCACATTTGAAATCATCTTATCCGGCCGAAACACAATGTAATTCTCTACCGTTTACGGAAGAAGAAATCAAAGTAAGCAACTTTTGTGTTTCTTTTTTATTCTTAACAATATTTTATACATAAAATATTTAACTTGTTCACAGTCAGGCTCAGTACCGGATGATATATTTAATGATAGTTTAAGTCAGAGTCTACTGCCTGAACAGAAAGCAAGAAAAAGAGACAGAACTCAGGTAAACACATTTTAATTGAATTTTATACATAAGGTAACCATTGTGATCTTATCAATACTAATGTAATTCTCGTAGACATCGTATAAAAAGCCGGGCCCCCCAACACCTAGTAGGAATGGCGGAAGATTGTCACTACAAGTAAATTATTTGCTATATTACTATGTCTATGCCAAAATTAAAATCAGGTTACTGATTACTTATTTCTCACATTTTAAAAATAACAGGGTAATGAACTAAAGAGTCCAAATTCAAGAATACTAAAGGAGAGAAATAAAGAAAGAGCAACAACTACACCACGCACATTGAAGGGTCTATTCCTTTCAAGACGACAAGATGAAGTAAGGATAAATAATACTAATCATTTACTCTTAATTTGTACCATTGTAATCTCCACAAATTTGTTTTCAATTTAACAAAGTGTTTCAAATACAATTTACGTTCACGTCATCTTATGCTATCATAGTACGCTTTCCTTGAAAAGAGAATAATTAAAATAACAAAAGATAATTATAATGGAAGGATTAAAATGGTACATTTTGAATATTAATATTAATACAATAATATTTTAAACAGAATACAGCAGTTACACCACGAAATCGTAGAAGCAGTATTTTCCGCAAATATCGTGGTACAACCGATAGATGAAGACTATCACGTATATAGCAGGAAGTATTAATTAACATCGGTATTTTACAATTGTAAAATGGAAAATCTATTTTTTCTTCTATATTTCCCATCGATTTAAGAATTGTACAAAAGAATATAGTATTATAATCGTAACAGTTGACTGTTCAAATATGAAAAAAGGAAAGTCTTTGTCACTCATACATTATAGTCATTTATTTAGATAATTAAACAGTTTTATAATAACGGTAGTATTTGAAGATTTTGACATTATAAAAACGCTGATGTTATGAAACAAATAGTAAGTCATACCTATTACGATATTGACTGAAAAGTATGTGTAATTTTAAATAACAAGTACGTGTAATTTGTATGTAAATGATTTAAAAACACTTATTGTAACTTATCAACTTAAAGGAGAACTCAATGATCAGTAAAGTTTTCTGCGTTGCATGTACACCTGACTGAATACGTTCTATGTATTGTACAATTTAAAACCTATTCAATCTGATACATACATTAAAAATGTATCACAAATCGCATCCTTCTAAAATTCGGCCGTCTTGGATACAATGAAAGTTTCCTAATCTCTCTTATTATTCAGAATCTGATTCCTATAAAAAAGATATATCATTAATTTTACAGGTAATTATGGTTTGAATCTCTAGCTGTTTTTATTTCAAAATATAAACCTTTGGGAACAGTTTTGTATAATTTAATTACAAATGATATCATTTAATCTTATATTTATGATTTAATATTATAAATGACATCATTATTGAACTAATGTACCATAATTTTAATATTATAAAGCTTATAATTTAGATGGATGTTATTAATTGTACTAATTTCTAATTGTAGATTAGTGTAACTTACCATATATTGACCTTCTACATAGCGACCAGAATTTCTGGATGTCCTCCTTAATTCTCTCGGCTCTGAATGATCTTGACTTCTTCGCCTAAAAATATGAAAGCTCATCATTACAACAAGAATCTTTTAATAAAGTGGATAATGTCGAATATTTCACTTCACTAAATTATAAAAAGAAATTACTTACGACCTTGATTGGATCTGCATTGTCTTAAGTTTATTATCTATATCCTGAGAAGGGCTTGTAGATGCATCCTCAATCATAGCCGATAGAGACGTCTGCATCTGTGTAATATCACTGGTTTCGTAAAATCCAGCTGCCCTAGATCCACGAGTTATTGATACTTTAGTTACAGCTAATCTGAAATTGAAGATACGTAATAATGGATCATGAACACCATGCTTCACTAACAATTTTATATTTTTTCTATTTCTATATTTTGAAAAATTATTTTTTTAAAGAAATATATAATATTTTAAAATAATTAAATGAGAAGAAACGGAAGTGAAGTAAAATTTTACTCACGGATGTTTCCTCGGACCACGTTTCTTCTTGTGTTTACTGCAAGAAAAACGTTTTATTGGTGGAATTATGATGGAATTAGTTTTACAAGTAAAGGGACAAAAATTTGGTATTACTTGTTCGACTCTTGGTAAGAGATTTTTTCGTGCACAGTTCTATGCAGTATGAACATACACATATATTATAGAATCACACTTCGCGTACATACGTATCATTGCGTTCCAGAATTACGTCCAAAAGAACAATTAACAGTCTGAACAAAAATTGGTAGAACTTGTCCGAGTATTAAATACCCAAATACCTAAAGACGTGTCTGTAATATTGCGGTGATTATAGAGAACGGCGTGTTAAAAAATACAAAAAACTTCGATGGTCAAGCAGGAGATGCGAAAGTAATGAAACTTATTTCTGCTATGATTTTTAGCGAATTTTAGAAGGAAAAAAACCGTGCAAAGAACAGCGTCGTTTGAACGTCACGAATTTAAAATTTTGATAAAAAGCAGGATGCAGGAACTCGTTGGGGAAGAGGGTCATATTTCAATTAATATCACATAATTATCATATCTATCACCAATTTGTATATTATCAATATATAAACAGAATACACAGTATTTTAGACTTATTTGCTTTCAAATTCTTAGACTCAACAAAACACACATCGTTCTCTATGTACTTTTCTTTTGCAGGCATTCCAAAAATATTATAGAATCTTTCTATCAACAATATTAATGAGTAGTTTTTAATATTACTTTCCTTACACTATAGAAGTTGCGAGTTGATTTAAATATAGGCGTCAAGAACAATAGGTTTCATCAATTCCTTATATAACTTTTGTCGTTTACAGAAATATGTATAGGTTTGATATATGACTTGATACTTTGACAATATTACATGTGTATATGTATATAGATATATATGTGTATTTATATGCGTGTGTATACACATATATACATATATTATTATCCTTACGCTAGTTTGAAAGTTGATTTTAAAACAGGCACCAAGAATAATAGACCTCATCAATTCCTTATACAATTTTTGCCCCTTATATATGATTACATACATTATATATTTTGCTAAAAGGTAATAATTCTTAGCTTGAATAACGATCAGGTAGCCTGCAACAAGCGATTCATAAGAGATTACTACCCATGCAAAGACAACAGATTTATAATATACGTAAAGACGCTAATGGTAAAAAGTATTTATTAATAAATAAAGCACAAGCATGCAATTAAATGATAAAAGAATAAACAGCTATTGCTTAAAAAAGAATATTCTAGTTTGTAGGATTTATCTAATGATTAAGGAAATAGATATTAATGTGTAGAAAATAAAAATATTAATGTTGCACTGCAAATTGTATTAAATAATATCCTTCAATACAAAGTACCTTTCACAAATTTAATCGGTTATTCATGTTATAATTTTTAGTGTAAATTTGGAACATATTATGTATTATATTTTAGACTACAATATATACATTTTAGCAAAGCATAAAATAATGATGCAAAGTAACATATGGTAAAGGCAAAGATAGCTGTAACAAATTATTGTAGTACTGACTGTATGGATTCAGTTTAGCATTCAAAGATATTACAGTGCTGTGATAACAATAGCTAAAAATGTGTGCACATTATACGTGAATTAAAATAACTACGCAAGCATGTAAATTTAGTATCCAAATCAGCGATACTCTCTATAATTATTTAAAATTTTTATCATACACAGCATAATATACAATTTAAAAGCAAAAAAGCGTGTTTTGCATAATTAAGATTACGAATTAATAAAACAATGTTATACAAACTTAGTAGCATTGCATATTGCAATTGCTTGAAAGTACAATTATTTCTACTTCTTAAATTGGTGTGAAATAAATAAAATGTAAAGAATATATTACTATTATTAGTTTGGTGTGAACACCTAACTCACCCAGAAAATTCATGATCAGAACCTTCTTCAGGCTCATCTACTTCTTCTTCTTCTGCAAAAAAATACAAAAGCACGTGAATAAAAAAAAATATTAATTATTATGTTAAAATAGTTTGAAGTATATCATTTTATTCTTTTATATAGTTAGACTATAAAAACATACCAGCTAAATGATCCTTCTTGCGTCTCGTATAAGCACGCTTGCTCGTTACCGGAACTTGATCTGTTTCTCCGTGTAAAAGACTGTTTCTATACAGAAGTAAAGGCTGCCAATCCTCTCCCCGCGAGGAAGGCATTCCTGCTTGTAATCTTTTATCAAGAAAATTTAGCCTACAAAATAAATATAAAATTATTTACAATGTATATAGTATCGAAATTACTGACAATTAAGTTTCTAAAATTTCAAATAGATCATCTTCTCAAGTGCTGCAAAGTTTTCAGGTTTAGTATTCTTAACTATTTTTAAAATTGAATATTTATCTGTTTGTATATTTTACATATAAAATTTAAATTTTATATATTATTTAATATTATTTTTAATATTAAATTTTCTTACAGTTTATTTTATAAAGCTGATCAATTTGGCTGCTAAGAATCGTTATCATAATAAAAAAGAAACGCTTACACGACGCGTTTATCTTGTTTGAGGAGTTTGTTCGTAAACTCAGACAAGATTTCAAGGAATGATAAATTCGGTGGTGGTCCAGTGGGATCTTGTTCGATGCCGTCTGGTGGTGTAATGGCGAAAAGAACACCCGATCGATGCAAAGCAGTAATTGCTTCTCGATTTTTAACTGCGTCTAACCCAAATGACAGAGCGAATCGTTTCGCAAGTTCCTGAAATATTTTCTATCTTATTATTTCGTAATGCAAAATATAAAATGCTTATTATTGAATGCAAACCTTTATCGCAGTGAATTCTTCACTGTTTCTGTTGACTTTGCCTTTCTCGGCAATTATTTCGTTATACAAAATATTCAAACTATGTTGCATTGTCAATGCACAATGTGTTTTATTAATGTCTCTTGCTTTTCCTAACGTTGTTTTGATAATATCTCCGTAATCGTTGTAATATTTTACATAGTGTTTGAACACATCCGCTGCTGCTTTGGTAGGTATCATATTATATACAATTAACTTGCAGTAACCTGCTAGAAAGTTTCTTCTTTTATGTAACTCTTCAATTTTCGAATGTTCGTCGTGTTCATCTACAAACGAAAAATACATCGATTAACTTTCATTATTTTAAAATAAAGATTTCATTATGGACATTGCTAATAACGTACCATCTTCTTCTTCGAAAAATACGTATTCTTGTATAAACCGATTAAGCATGTTTTGCATCGCTTGGTCAGGTTCGTAGACCAACTGATGCATCAAAGGATTTGAATGTGTCGTTAATTGATTACAAAATAGCACTAATAAGTCGCATATTGTATTGTATGCCTCTTCTCGTAAATCTGGTGGAGACGGCTACAGAATTGATAGATTTTACACATTATTTACATATTATCAATCAGTCATTTGTATGGAAAAATATGAAAAATAATTACTGTGCCACTGCCATCGCCGCTAACAAAATGCCGCATGGAGCCCATGAAAGAGTGTAATCGTTCTTTTAATTGTCGACATTCATCTTCACCTCGATTTCCAGAATCTACTGATTCCATAAGATGGTTTTGTCCCCACAAAATTGCAAAAAAGCATGCACTAATACAATACTTCACTGCTCCATGTGGTAAACATCTGCAACAGCATTTCTATTTTAGGAATATGATATTATTTTTCTGAGTTTTTCTAAATAGTATACAATCATTAATAGTACTTAGATGGATCTTTGGCGTCTTCAATGTCCTTATACAAAGAGTCCCATATACCCCAGGGATTCATATTGTGACAGGAATAAAATATTGACACTTTCTTAAGAGAATAAACAACGTTAAACTTTTCATCCTCGTCAGGTTCTTCGTCTCCCTCTATTAAATTTCTGTATTCATCAATAGCTTCTTTATATTTATTTACAATAGAGTCGATTAACGTTGAACGCGCTACATCACATCTATATTGGAACATGTGAAGCGTTAAACATTTATATTCTTTTAAAGTTTTTTGAAATATATTACAAAACTTCACCTAGTGAAAATAGCGTGTCCTTCTATACACATATGCTCCAAAGTTTTTGCGGCTGTGTCCAAAACTTCAGTGTCATGCATTTTCTCTACAATCGTATGAATTTTATTCAACAACGACTCCAAATTTTGCTCTTGTCGAGACTTGATATAGATATCTAAATCAAAATACTGAGGGATAGCGAGCAAGTTTGCAAGCTTTTCAGGATCCGCTCTGTATTTATCAAGCAATAAGGGTAGTGTTTGAATAGAGTGCTCCGTCAATCGTTGTTTATCATCGTAGACTTGTTTCGTTTCTTTCGCGGATAGTATCTTCCTAGTTGGTCCCCTACCAACTGGGGCTTCGCCTATTTTTTAAATAAAGATAAGTTTTCATTGTTTACAGAATTTTTTTAAAAAAGCGGTACAAATAAAATATTACCGGTGGCAGCCTGTTTTATACAACAGACCATCAGCTCAATTAATGATGTCTCTTTTTGGTTATCTAAAGATTCCTCTTCAGGTCCAGCTTCTTCTAATAGCAAATCCGTCATGCATTCCCAATCTTTCATCATCTGATTTGTTTCAATCAACGAATCTACCAGATATGCACCATGTTCGTGAAGTTCTGATTCAATGAAGAATAAAACAAGATCTCGAATAAGTGGCGTATTCGGTAGGCGCTTTTTTCCCCGTTTAGTCTTCATACCAGCTACCGCTTCGTCATCAGGTCGGAATAAGCGTTCGTTTAAAAATTCACCCGCTGCCTGAGCAACGGCACGATGAGACGAATACACTAGTTCATATACATGTTCGCAATCCTTGTCGGTCAGAATTTCTCTATGGTGTTTCAAAATTGAAATGACAAGTTTAACAGCTTGTACCGCCACATCGTACTCCTTATCCAATGTCATTGCAACAATGCGATCTTTAAATTTACTTGTGAAAAGTTCAAGCTTTGTCTTTAGTTCTTCTGAAGCGTATAATGGTTGCAACGCTTGAAGACACTTTAAGCGGACCTCGCCAACTTTATCATGTAATGTCCAACCTAGGAAATTATATTAAACATATAATTATCAATATAGGAATACTTGATCTTATAACAGTTATATTTACCTATGTATTTTAAGTAAGAATCGTCTAAGAAGTTTTGATGAAACTTCTTCATCCAAACTCCAATCTCTGCCATACAAATCGCTCGTATTTCTGGCAGTGTGTCTCTATAACGATGCACAAATACAGACTTGAACATGTACGTAAGCATGTTCTTGATTTCATCCATGTTTTCCTCAAGTTCCTTTCGTTTGGCCATTAATGACTCCAATCTGTCTGCAGCTCTCTTTTCTCTAGCTTTTTGTCTTTCTGCTTCATATTGCCTCTGCGTATTGTCCAAATTTATTGACACAGTGAGAGCAACATCAACTAAGGCTGTCATTAGTTTCATAGCTACAAATAACATTAAATTTTCAAAAATGTAAATGCATATGTAATTTACATAGAACAGTATATCTTACCAGCTAACGTTGCCGTGTGTCTAAAAGCTCTCACTTGTGAATCCGAAAGACCAGTTAATAATGAGATTACATTGTCCATTAAAAATTGATCGTAAATTATAGAATATTGACATTGCCGAACTAAAATTTGAACGAATTCACAAAAATTCGCACGAAATTTTTTCCACTGCTGTCCTGTCATTATCAATGGATATTCTCCACTTTCCTACATGACAAGTAACCAAGTAATCAATTAAGCATGATATAGTAAGTATTAATTAAGCATGTATAATATATACCTCGTCAAACTCTTCAGTCATTTTTCGAATAATTGCTACGTGTTCCATTGTTGACTGCATCTCTGGGGTGATACGACCTTTACAGCCACTTGCATTAATGAAAAACTGCATTAACATCAGAAGAGCATTTTCCCTATTAATTTTATATTTTTCTATCCAATCATCAACAATAGTCTGGAAACAAAACAAATATATTAATAAAGCAATTTATTAAAGGTAATATTAAAATCTATTGGCTACCCTGGAACTACTAATATGAAAACATTCTGACACACTTAAAGCATTAATATAAAAAAGTAATACAAAATTACAGTACAAATTAAAAATGTAATTACTATGTACTTTTCAATTTAAGATGCCTCATAATGCTTAATATTCCTATTTAACAATTGTTTAATCTATATTTTTTAAAGATTTCATATACATACAGTTAATGAAGAGCGATTATTCCTAATAACATAATAAAGGCTAGCTTCATCTTCCAAACTATGTGAATTATTTGTTCGTTTCCCACGTCCACGTCCACCACCTCCTCTTCCCCTACTAGTAGTAGTTGGAATGTAATCAGTATCTATTTCTTTATATTTTGGTTGTTGTATTGCTCCTCCTGCAAGAAATAGTACTTATTCATTCTAGTTAATAATAAATTCTAGGTACTGCTTTAAAACATACCACGCAACCTGGCACGTGTATTCCTCGTAATTCTCATATTGGTTGGTGTTAGTGGTGTCATAGGTTGTTCAAATAGAGATTGATTCTCAAAATTATTTGATTGTTCTTGATATTGATGTTGTGATGTACCAGGTGAACTATAACTTTCGGATGAATAATGTTCAGGGCTAAATGTACATTGGTGCATCGTCATTGGTGCATCGTACTCTGGAGGCACCGGATCATCCATACGTATTCTTTTCCCTCCTCTTCTATGCATCATTTTGTTGTTCTTCTATTATTACTATCCCTAGAGGAAAATATCTATCAATTTTTTGTCCAACTCTCATTTCAGAAAAATAAGGTCAAATACTATTTTATGACAGAATTTATAAACAAGTAAAATTTCTGTTATTTACAAACCTGTAAGATACTCCCCGGCAAGAGCGGGGATTAGGGATTTTCACAGAGTCTTACGTTTTCACAACTTGTAACTGCATTTAAAGTATATTCGCTCGAAAAACATTGCAAACACGCATTGATATGATTCTTCAAATAACCCCGGCTTCCTGCAAATATTCACCGATAGTTTCACAACGCATGCAAATGTGTACTGATAAACATGGTTATTATTGGTCGCTTGTCAAAATACACAATAAAGTGTACCAATAGGGGAACATGTCACAATTCACTTTTGAATTATATTTGCGGAGTTGAACTTTACGCGCGGAAACTTTCTCATGATCGCTACAAAAATAACAGTCTACAAAAATTAACACAATCGTGGATCCGTTATTTCGTGAAACGCGTTAATGTAGTGTTCATCTTACAGATAAATAATTATCTATAGCGGCAAAAAGGACTGCTTCTTTTGCAGTCAAAAGGATTCTTTTTTCTCGTAGATATTTAAATTAATAATTATATTTATGTACTACTTATACGGGAGAGATATAATATGTTCTGAAATAACTTCTTATACATATTAGGCTAGATTCTCATTATCTTTTTAAAGCTGTCAGGTAGCATTTGAATATCGTTTTCCGTTGTGTAAGTCTCAAAAATGTTGCAAACTCTTCAAAAGGATGATTGCATGATTTGATGTGCACATTTGCACTGTAACTTTTTTCTTTGTGAAAATATTCTCCGAGGTTTTGTTAAAAACTTATTAACGAAAAACACGGACCAATCAGAGAGCGAATACGCCCTACGAATTCTTGCGCGATAGCAGGCTACGCTGGGCTACGCTTAGTATAGTGTTGGCTTCATATTGAACTCGAGGTTTGTACAAGTCAGCGCACAAGAAGCTGTTATACCATATTAAATAAAAATAATACGATATTCGATCAGAATCCGTGCACCGATTTTGTGACACATTTTTGAAAAACAAGTGGATCCCTAACTAAATGGATGAGTTTCCTATTAATCTCCTGTGAATTGCTGATTTGTACAAGTCTCGAACTCAGCACGAAGCTAACACTAGCTAGAAGTAGCGCGCCAGAATTTGTAGGCTGTACTTGCATTCTGATTGGTACGTGGAAGTACATTTTCACTGAGGAAAAAATGACTTCAAATCACTATAGGAATCATCCCTTTAAGGACGAAACAATCCAATCAGTGTCACTACACTCACATAGAAGAAACCCATGCACATATGTATATGTATTTCAAAACTTGCATAGTTTCAATAGCGCAATGACCAGTTTAGGAGTGATCAATTGTGTTTTCTAAAAGTCCAATCCAGGACTATTCGGCCTCTTAAATGTACATACAATTTAACGTTATTGTAAACTAATTTGTAATATTCGGCTTGATAACATTAAGTCGAAGTTCTGACATTTTTCAATGCTAGCGCCACTGTTTCTTTTTGAGCAAAAACTGCACGTTGCAAGAGAAAACGGTCGATAATATAGGTCGTTAAGTTAGATATGTATTATTTGTGTTGGACTTCAATTAAATTGTAAAATATTTATATTTATAATTAAAAAAGTCTGTGGCTGAAAAAAGCATAAGAAAAGATATATGTGTTGTTCAATACAAACGATGTCCATTGCGCTTGCAACATTTTTGGGACACCTTACATTATGTAAAATCCATTGATGATTATATCTTCAATAGTTTGGCAATAATTAGTAATCAACGACAACAAAAATTCTATTTAAAAATTGCATATGTATATACAATTAATTTATTTTTCTTTGTTTTGAATTACCAGTTGCACCAATTGTACAACAGTGTATACAGAGAAGGCAATCTATTATCACTAGTGAAATAATCTGTGGTTAACGGTCTTTGTGTGGGGATGGGAGGCGTGACTAGAGATAAAGTTATCAAATCACGGTGGAGATTCGTCACAAAATATAAACGAATTTTCAAATAGCACTTCATCAAGTTCAGCTCTCAAACGTACGCGCTTTCTCCGTGTTTTGTCGAAAGTACAATGGATACATACGAAAGTGTATTACTCGTCAAGAGTGAAGTATTTGTATTTAGTATACCTCCAAGGTCATTGAATAGGGGTTATCGGTACGAATTGATTCTTTTTCAGAATATTTCCTTTGAAAATCTCTCATCTTGATGAAAGAACTCCGCATGCATAAACGCATGGAAAACTGAATATTTCCTTCGTTATTGACAAGGCATTCTAAATATCATCGGTCATTTTTCAATATGTTTAATCTCAATCTCGCACAATTAATACGTCAGCAAAAGTTGTACCGGAAATTGTTGACAGAACAACATATTGTTACATCTGGAACATACTTCTGTACAATTTTTATCTGCGGTGTGATTCATAAGTCATCAGAATGAGTTTATTATACGATCAGCATTATAAGCATAGTATAATAGTTGGTGACAGTTTTGACAGATATTCCAAATCTCACAATAATATAGAAACCTAATTTTGTCAAGGGGAAAAATAAATTTAGTTCAATATATTATGTATATATGTAACATCTATTGTATCTATCTATCTATATTTATTTATATATATTTATATATATATATATGTATATATATATTTCTTTTTTATGTATATATTCATAGAGCAGCTGATTGGAACCTACAAGAACCAACATGGACTGGCAGAATGCGTCTTGTGTGTCAAGGAAATTCAGTAGCAATAAAACTTGAAGATAAAGTTACAGGTGAATTATTTGCCAAATGTCCAATTGAAAAGTATCCAGGTATTGCTGTTGAACCAGTCACAGATTCTTCTCGTTACTTTGTTCTGAGAGTTCAAAATGATAATGGACGCTCAGCGTTTCTTGGTATTGGATTTTTGGATAGATCAGATAGTTTTGATCTAAATGTTGCGCTTCAAGATCATTTTAAATGGCTCAAGAACCAAGAACAGATAGAAAAGGAAAAAGATGAACCAAAACAGGAGCTAGATCTAAGATTTAAAGAAGGCGAAACAATCAAAATCAACATGAAAATTACTGTAAGATTATTTAGTTATTTTATATTTATACAATTGTATTTAAACATTAAGTTTCAAATTAGACAATTAGAGATAAAATTCTTAATTGTGATACAGAAAAAGGATGGTAGCGAAGTTTCTTCAAAGGCAAAACAACGACCTAGCACAGGTATTGGTTTACCTCCACCACCAGGAGGTGTAAAAATTGCACCTCCACCAGCCAAAACTCCAACCTCATCCCCTGCACATAAACCAGTCCAAAATCAAAACCAAACAAGTTCGGAGTGGGGAGAATTCGCTAGCGCATCTCAACAATCTCAAGCTCAACAGCAACAACCATCAACAGTAGGGAATTCCAGTTGGGTGCAATTCTAACTTCTTACAACTTGTATTAAAATTTAGTGTAGCTGTGCTATAGAATCATAGGCAGTGCATATGTATATTAATTTGTATATGCACATGTACTTTGATATGTATACATACATATACCTTTTAAGGGTAA